AAATGCGGTCCATGGAGGAAATGTATAACGAAATGATATTAGCTGCAGGCGCAGGGTCTCGATCTGAGAACCGAGTGACGCGCGTTGACATACGCGAGCCAAGGGGTTCCCACCTCGGCCCAGTCGAGGAGGAACATCCCGAAGACATCGAGAGCGAGGGACACACTCGCCGGGGGGGAGACCTCCGTGAGCATCTCAACTGAAAGAGAGGCTCATCTCTCCGAAAAGGACAGTCACCATCCCCGCTCACACAGGAGCTCCAACCAGCAGGCCGAATCCTTTCACAACCCAACAACTCCTACAGGAGTGATTACAAGGGAGGAGTTCGACCAGCTGAGGGACCAGCTCGACGCTCAGGTGGGGGCCTTAAAGGCCAAATGTGAGCAGAAAGAAGGTTCACTGAACGATGGCAACTTGGGAGAATCGCCCTTCACCTCGGACGTTTTGGAAGCACCGATCCCTCCGATGTTCAAAGCTCCTACCACGAAGCCTTATGATGGGTCGAAGGACCCCAAGGATTATGTTGAGGTCTTTGAAGGCCTCATGGATTTCCAAGCGGCATCAGACGCAATCAAATGCCGCGCCTTTCAGATCGCGCTTACTGGCAGCGCGCGATTGTGGTATCGGAGACTGCCAGCCAGGTCGATCTCAACCTATTCTCAGCTGAGAAGGGAGTTCCTCGCCCAGTTATCTTCTCGGCATTATGACAAAAAGACAGCGACCCATCTCGCCACCATCAGACAGAAGGAGGGTGAGACGCTGCGAGAATATGTCACCAGATTCCAGGAGGAGCAGTTGAAGGTCGCACACTGCTCCGATGACTCGACCATGTGCTATTTTCTCACCGGTCTAGCCGACGAGACCCTCACGGTGAAACTTGGAGAGGAGGCCCCGGCCACCTTCGTCGAGKTGCTTCAGAAGGCGAAGAAAGTCATCGATGGACAGGAGCTCCTCCGAACCAAAATCGGCCGACCAGAACGAAAGATCGGCCGGGGCAGAAGTGGAAAAGATATAGAAAAGGCAAATCCCAAGTCCAAGGACAAGGGATCCTTTTCCAGCGGCCGAGCTGAGTATCGAAGGGCGGAGAACGGACCTAC